TGCAATCAGCAAACAACGGCCTAAACCACGAAGCGGTGGTGCGGTCTGTACCGGCACGTCACTGCTTATACAAAACCATGAATCTAACCCTCTCCCCCCCAAAAAAAAATGAGCCTAAGCCTTGTGCTAAGTTTCCGCGGCAAACATCTTAGAGCAATTGCTGCCTGTTGACGAGGAAGGCTGAAATAAATAAGAGTTCGCTATCAAGGCTACTGTTTGCCAACAGCGTGCTGATAAGATGGTATATCCCTAATCACAATATTGAACTTTTATAATGTCTATTGCCTGACTGTTATAACAGGGAGAGGATCCTTTCAAGCTCACCGAAGTATCCACATCCCTGGATATGGTCCTTTTCTCCCCATCCTACATTTTTGTGACTGTTGGTTTCTATTAACAACTTTGGCACTCCACAGAAGGCTGCTTTTCACTTCGGAAACACAATACGGACCAGTATTTACCGGCACCACGCAATATATGAGTCTAAATAATAAAAACGTGCAAGCAAGCTGTGTAGTGGTTTTGTATGTACATCGTGGTTTTCAGTCGTGGTTCTCAAAGCCCTTTAAGTACATCAACCCGCTCTGATGTGTGGAGGAGGAAACTGAGGCAGACAGAAGGGATGGGAGTCCCCGGTCTCCTCAGGGCCGGTGATGGAGCAGGAGAAGGCCGGGCCCACACCACCCCAGTCCCAATCTCCTTTTGGTTAGCCGTTAATTGGTAATCCTTCCTTCACCATGCCCCATAATAAATCGTAAAGTAAATAAATAATTTCCCACGATATTTGCCTACCTCCCCTTCGTCAGAAACGTGCAATATGATTTACCACATCACACCGAAGTGCAAAGTAAATTTGGCAGCTTATCTGGAGGAAATACTGTGAGGGTACTTGAAAGTTATTTCTGAACAGGGATCGTACCCGTAAAATCACAGCGGCAACACTGCCGATCGCAACAACCACGGCCAGGACTCAGTGCAGAAAAACTTTGGGGTAGCCAAAACTTTCTGCAAGCCCCTCTGAAAGAAGGTGGTATCGGGAATGCAGGTTCCCACCGCTGCAATATGTTCAATTTTCTTAGTCATATAAATTTATATAAAAGCAGTTTGTACTACTATGAGTCCTCTCCACTCTGCTCCTCTTTTTTTTCCCAGCCTGTCCAGACCCTCAACTTCCAAATCAAGCTGAAACCCAGGGGGACCTATACATACCATACGTGAAAACCGGGGCCTAGCACTTCACACGCGTGCATTTTTCTGCAATATAATCACTCAGGAGAACTACAATAGCATATTATTTTATCCAGTCAACATACTACACATCCTCGGAGTGCACCGAGTCACTCCGCGGGCACGCTGTACTTTGCACTGGAGTCCGAGATCCCAAGATTTTAATTTTCATCACACGCAAAAACATCTCAGTCTTCCCATAAGCATAATAGCATCAAACCAGGGATTTGTTTCAAGACCTGCTCAGTTTCTAGGTATATAACTTGTGATATTTAAGGGGGTTTAAATGCTGCTTTTTCCTCAAAGGATTACTCGGAGGTTTGTTTCGTGGCCGCTCAGACCTGACAGCTAGGTTTGCATTTGGGGGACCATCTTCTCCTTTCCCTCCAAGCCCAATCCTGCAGAATTCACACTCCCCATCCCATCCCCGTGGGGTGAGGATATCTGCTACCCCTGACCCACGGGCCTCAGGGACCTCTAGCCTTCTCAGACTACTTTGTGCATAACATATACAAACTTTTTTTTTTTTTTTTTTTTTAATTAAAATAGATCTCCTTTCCCCCAAAATCAGGATAAAGGAAGCCACATCTGGCTGCGATCCCTCCTAGGACAACATTTAGGATAACACCTGTAAAGGATGCCCGAAACGCCGTTCGTTAACCCCAGGAAAACAAGAGCTGCTTTTATATGGCTGCACCTTAAAAACCCACCAAAAAAAACAACCAAACAAAAAACCCCAAACAAATAAAATTTAAAAAAATAAAACCCAAACAAAAAACAAGGAGTTTTGGCACTCCCCTCGCTGCCCCGGGAGGGCAATAACCGACATCCCCCGCTCCCTCCCCGCCTCATGCAGCCACCGCCACCGGGACACGGCACCCAGCACAGAGATAAACCGAAAAGTTGGAGAAGGTGGTATAGAAAAGCACTTACCTGCTGCGTGCACAAAGTATGCCAAATATAAATCGAGTTCCTTAACAGAAACTCCTATATGGTGGGGCTGTACGCACAGCCCGGGGTTAGAGCACTGTGGGGACTTTACAAGGCGCTCGCCATCAGTACTTTCGAGCGGAATACCTTTAAATAAAATCACCATAACAAGGTCCAACCTCCAGACCTTATCTGCCTGGCGAAGGCAGTCAATTCTTCTCATCTTGCCCTTCTGGTCTGGATTGGAAAGAACGCAACACGGAGGCTTTTTTCCTGTGACTGTGAGAACAAAATCCTCCCGAAATTCAGGCCTGATATCTTTCCGGAGCTTTGCCAGAAGTCTGGATGCCCATTTTTGCTTTACCTCGGGTTTTTCACTTAGCAGTTCATCCTTCACGGCTCTCTCTTCCTCTTTTGACATGCGTTTTTCATGTTTTTTGAAGTATTTTCTTTTTCGGGCTTGCAGGTTGAACCACGTGTATGCAAACGCTCGGACGTGAGGCAGAAGTGCTTCGATGAAGGGATGAAATTCATCCTGAAAAAGTTACAGAGAAGGGTCGATGTCACTGAAACCATCAACAAAGCCTCCAGAAAAGGGGCTTTCGCAAGGCGCTGAGAATTAGGAGGGTGTTTATATGTTTTATGGGCTGCAGGACTCATACCCCTCACCGACGGACCCCGATCCCGCCACCGCCGCGTCCCCGCTTCACCCCGCGCCGACCCAAAACCTCCCCAAAAACAGGATCCAACTTCAAACAAGCACCCAGGCGGAGACAGTACAACGATGGGGCCCTTTCCCCGATCCCTAAATCTCTTTAAAAAAATAAAGCAGAACGAGTTAAAAGCCAAAAACCCCGCGGCAAGTCCACTCGCGGAGCGCGTATCTCCCTTTGCTCTCTCCCTGACCCCGCTGCTTGCGGTGTAGCCAGCGTATGCCCGCCAATTTGGCAAATCCTAAACATTTGGATGCCAATCAATGTTTGTATGGGGAAGTCTAAAGTATAGTAAAACTTTCCCTAAGATATATTTGGAAATAGCAGCAGGCAGTATAGTAAAATGACAATATAGCTGCATATACAAATACAATGAAGGGTGGTTTTTCTCTCTGTTTCCTAAACGGTGAAGGCAGCAGAAAGTAACGCAGTCGATAGATCTCACACGTGCACAACGATAACTAACGCTAAAAATCCTAGAAAAAGTGAGTCTCACGATTTTATTAGAAGAAGAGAAAAAAAAAAAAAGTTTTGTTTCTATTTAGTCAAAAATAAAAAAAATAAAACTCTGATATTCAGGCATATTAGGACAAGCCGAACTCTAAGCCTTACTACAAAATAAAAAGAAACAGTAAAAAAAAAAAAATTGAAGAATGCATTAACATGCTTTAACGTGCATTTAGCACGACTTGTGCAAATAGGCAACAATTATTTATTTTCTAATTTATATGTTGCATTGTATTTTCCTATATTTTAAAAGAAACACCCTACTTGGAAAGTTACTTTGGCCATCCAGAGACACTGCTTGCTTTGTGTAACGATGAGTTAAAGATCACCTCTCTTTCTTGGCACAAAAATGATCACGATTAAAATTATGCTGACAATTACAAAAAAAAATCCAACCAAAAAACCCACACCCGCAAGAAAGGCCCCCCAATTTTAATTTTGTATTTAAAAAATAAATATTTTTTTTTTAAAAAGTACTATATAAATCAGCCAGAAAGATCAAAACATATTATAATATACTGGGGGCACTCTTCTTCTTTTTCTCTGAATAAATGAATGACTGAACTCCAGGCTGCACATATAGAGATATATAGCCTGTGGGGGCCCGATCCAGCACCGCGTGCTGGGGACGTCCCTGCTTCCAAGGGCCGAGTTCCTCCTTCTCTCAGGATTGGGCCCTCCAGGGGGGAAAAAGTAAAGTCATTTGTGCAATGTTTCCCCCAGCATGGTAAAAGCCACCCGCTGCCAATCCTTGCAAGGCAACATTGGGGATTTTACAGATTAACTAACTTTTTTTTTTTTTTTTTTTTTTAATTATCCCAACTCAAATCATTTCAGGTCGTGCAAATACTGTTATTAAAACAAACATCTTATGTCCTTTCCACACTTTATTTTAACTTGCATTTTCTTTTCAAAAATTAGGAAAAATTGAGAAATCAATAGTAGAAATATCTATCAGCAAAATCCTGTCGTAATTCAAGGCCTTCTGCTGACTTCCCAAAAGCTTTCATTGCACTTATTCTGAACAGCCCCTGAATTATAAAGACTTGAATCTATAGGTAATATCACAGCATTTTTTTTATTTATTTGAAACACAAATTGTTAAAAACTACCAAAAACGGCACAATGTATTTCATTATAGCACAGCAGAGCGGCAGTAATCACAAGTACTATGAATGATTATTAAAATATAAGCAGGTAAAATAAAATAAATCACTCCAACGACTGGCACATTCCTCCTTCTTTTTCATTTTTTTTTTTCTCCTTCTTCTACTGGAGAAGATCATAGTTTCAAATTTCAATAAGGTTGTTTTTTTTTTTTCTTTTAAAATGCTGCAAGTTTGCAGTCGGCAAATTCAAAAAGTGAGAGGAGGCACAATCCCAGCACATGGAGCTGCTCTCACCCACCAGAAACAGCTCTTGTGGTGGGGGGGGGGGGGGAAAGAAAAAAAGAAAAAAAGAAAGAAAAAACAAAAACCACAGGTCCCTACAAGCTATTAAAAATAACAAACCCTCCCTTCTGATCCCTCCCGTCCTTCCCCTTCTCCACTCAGGGAGAGTCAAGGAAAAAAGGCCTTTTGTCAAGTGGAAGTTTATCTGCGAAGGTACACGCAGCAGAGGCTCGACAGACTCACAATGAGCCAGGGGAGCTTCCAGCCTTCCTAGTTTTTAAACACGTCTTGGTACATCCTGCAATATTTTAACTTTTCTGCTTTAAGCAGGGCTTTTGTCCTGCCTGATCTCATGTGCTCGGGACTTTTTTGGCTCGATGCTGGATACTATCCAAGAGAGAGTCGCTTTAACCTGCGCTAAAGCTGATTTCTATGATGTGAACCTGAAAGGGGAGATAAAAACAACATCCCCAAAAATATATAACACTTTAAAAGACATCAGGAGAAAGGAAAATTTTTAAAAAAGGTGGGTTTTGGTGTAAAGTCAAGGTCCATGGCTGAAGTAAATGCAAAGCACCGCTGCTCGGCGCGCGAGGTGTGCACGTCCCTATTAGACTCCAATGTGTCTTTTCAAAATGGTGTACGAGGAGAAAAAGGTTAATGAGTCATAAACAGAGCAACTTTCAAACTGTCTTGGTAAACACGACACACTGCTCCGTAAAATCGCCCCGCTTCAATCTCGGCGGCGAGGTATTAGCAAAGTCGAAGTGGAAATAAAAGCACTCGGGGCTGATCAAACAAAATTGGGCTGGAAGCGGGGAGGGGGGAACAGTTTCTGTACAAGACAATTATTTATTTTAGTGTTATAACAGGCTCCCCTCTCCAAATAAAAAAAAAAAAAAAGAAGTTTTGGAAATGTGTCAGTGCAAGTGTGCTAACAGATGTGCAGACTCGTCTGCAGCCTCCCTGCAAAATATCAAGATTTTAAGTAACTGGTGGAAAAGGAGATGATCTTTGCCTTTCCCCGAGTTAGCTTTAAGGGAAACTTTCAAAGTATTTGATAAAGACATTTGTTTCCCCCCTCCCCTTGGTGTTTGATGGGTCACCTAAAAGTAAAAGGCACCAGAAAGAAGCTGGGAAAGTGAGAATAAAAAAGTTTGGGTTTTTTTTTTTTTTCCTTCATTGCACTACTCTCCAAAGTTTGAGGATACAGCTCTTCTGAGAACAGCCTGTTTCTAAGCAGCACCTAAAATTTAGGCCGCACAATTTTGTATTGCTTCTACCAAAATTCTCCTCTGCTCTTTAGAAAGGTGTAATTAAAAAAAAAAAAAAAAACAAACAAAATAAAAACCAACCCAACCCTACGACAAAAGAGCCCCAAAACCCAGCCCAAAGGCGCCCGCAATAATGTAACACTGCAAAGGAGTCTTTTGAAACAATATATTTCTGCTGATCTTTTTGAAATTAAGCCAGCTACGGCGACCCTTGTTAATATTTTTACAATCCATTTGCTTGTAAATCTATTAGGAGATGTGCATATGTTCCCCAACTATTTCCTAGATCTTCAGCAGATATGTAAATGGAACGATGTTTAGATTTTTTTCCTGACAGATGATACAAAAATGCTTGTGCCATTTCAGTTCCAGCGCTTGGATAAATACGCTCAGAACTAGGATTTCTGTTTGTTTTCCTTTTCTAGCCTACTTTCGAAAGCTTCCCTTTAAATCTGAAGCAAAACTTAAGAGGGAAAAAAAAAAAAAAAAAAAAAAGAAGAAAAAAAAAAAGGGTGAGCCTCCTTTTTCTGCAGAAAATGACAGAATCACTTCATTGATCCTTCGGAGGGAAGAGTTTGTCAGGAGGCCTCTAATCCTCGTATTACTTTTCCAAACGTGCAACAAGAATGCGAGATTTTCACAACTCAGTAACAGCACAGTGCCTGCCTTTTTTCTTTTTTCTTTTCTTTTCTTTTTTTTTTTTTTTTAATTAAAAAAAAAGGGGGTGGAGGAGGACACACCGGGACAGGGAGCAACCAGCCCATGGATTTATTTTTTTCTCTTTAATGTGCAACTGGGCCTACTAAACCCAAGCAGCTACACGTGCAGATGCACAGCGATGCGGTACGGTGCTGCCCTGCGTATTGCTGTCCCTCCTGCAGAACCAGAACTGACCACAAAAAAAACCCACCCCCAAAAACCAAACCCCAAAACCCAGGTATTTTTCAGAGTTTAGAATTAAAGGTGCAAACTTTAGCCAGGCAGAGCACAGAGTTGCATCCCGTGTCCTTTGCAAACTCCCTCTGCTCCAGTTTTTCTCCTGCCTTTAATCAAGTGTACGGTTTTTAAACCCGGTGGAGTTTCGTGCCCTCACCGGCCTGGCTTCCCAGAAATTTTGGGGAGGTCAGAGAAGGATTTAGGGGGGAGCACAATGAGAGAAGGGGATGAAACTTTTGCAGGTCTCCAGGCTGCCTGGGCAGGCTGTTTCCCCTCTCTCTGCATTTCCTCGCCTTTTTTTCTCGACGGAAAGAGCCCGGAGAGGCTTTCTCACCGGGAGAAAAAAAATATTC